GAATTGAAACTGATATCTTATCTTATCTTATATAATGCAGACGTTACTTCAAAAAAAGAAGATGATTACGTCCTACGCGTCATGCATTTAGTCATGCATATTAACCAATGACTTAAACTCTGCCAAGTCACTGGTTTTCCTGGCTAGCTCAGGCAAACCCATTCCATGCTCTAACAGCACTAGGGAAGAAGGAGTATTTGTACAAATTTGTCCTAGCATATGGGACGAGGAATGTGCCTTTATCTTTGTGTCTTTCAGAGTATTTTATTAAATTTTGTTTTTGTATTTGACGATTATGGTTCAGTGTTTTATGTATAATTGCTACTTTACTTTTGAGTCTTCTGTCCTGAAGGCTTTCTAAATTTAGTGATTTTACTAAAGGTGTTACTCTAGTCAAATGTGAATATTCGTTTGTTCTGACCATCACTGCTCTATTTTGTGTCTGTTCCAGTTTCTTAATGTTTTCTTGAGTTGAGGGGTCCCAAACGGAGGATGCATATTCTATTATTGGCCTAACCAAGGTTAAATAACATTTTAGTTTTATGTTCTTATTTGATTTGTTTCAGTAATGAATCTTGGAATGCGTATAGGAGAAATATGATGAGGATAAAATAAGTACGAAGTCTAGATCGACTACACTGTTGATAAAATGATATCAAGAGTGGTTATCATTTCATCACAGAAGAGTTTGAATGTTTTAAACGCAACAGAAAAAAATATATTTCGGCTGACAAGATAGAAGTCTGCATTTAGAACTATTTATGCAATGTACTGTGTTAATAATTACGAAACAAAAAGCAATGAAATTATTACCTCGTCAAAGTAAGTTTTCTGTAAGAAGCTCAGCTCCTTGTTGGGGTCAAAGTAACCAATACTAATGTACCTTGTGCTTCCTGCAGGCTTGTGTTTGGTGTAACTGGAGGGGGGGGGGGGGGTTAAATTAGTACTTTTAGTAAAACAGCAAAGTAAAAAAAATTGTTCAATGTCAATCTAGTCGTGCATGTTAATTAGAGTTATAAACACAGCTAAGTCATTGGGTTTCCTGGCTTCTTCTCATTACGTTATGCGTTTTTTTGTTAAATGTAAAATTTAGGAATTTCAAGCAACTTCTAAAGGCCATCTAGTTCCTTGTAAAAAAAAAATGTGGCTATATTCAAATTCAAACTACGATATTGGGAATCAAGGTTTAAACGCTTCGACACAATCATCCTCATTTCAAAATTTTACTTTCAAAATAATAATGAATATGTCCTGGCATCTGCTATAGCGTAGTATAGAATACACTTTTTAGGTTGACTTTATATATATGTTGTAATTTAATTGCATAGGCCTATCATGTTGTGGACTCGGAATGAAGACAGTAGGCGAAGATAGTTCTCATGCAGCACTAGAAATAAAATGAATAAAAACTGCTTTTTTAAATCTTTCCTACCAAGGATGTGGAGAAACTAACAACTTAAATGTTGAAGTTAGTTACAGAGCTGATGAAGGCATTGTCTTACATTTTGTTAGGAACTTTTAGAATTGGTACAAATCTAAAAGTTAAGTATAAATTTCATGACAACACTCTTAAAAAAACAATTGTAGAAGCAACACTTTCTTCACGCTGTTTTTTTTTTGTTTTTTTTTGCAATGAGTTTAAAGAAGGCGCGTAAATAAAATATTTAGAAGCATGAGTAGAAACTTAAGTGTTAACAAAATTTATTTTTTTAAAATACTTACACGGTTCCAGTCATGTCCTTGTCAGGTGGAAGTATGAACGGAGACTTGCTCTCGTCAAATGAGCGATACGCTAATAAATTTACGTCCACGTATTTCACTGAAAGCCAACAAATAGTTACACAAATATGTAGACAAGGCATGTCATTTTTTTTTAAACTATACTCCGGCTAGTAATAATCTAAACCAAAACGATCCTGTTTTAAGATGTTCCTCCTTGTAAGTTTGGTCTGGGACATCACTTTGTTTCAGCATAGTAACCTACAAAGTAATATGTTACTACCTTTAGCCTAATATCTAATCCCAATCTTTCAGAGCATTGGAATTAAATATGGCAAACCTTAAAACTTTTTAACAAGGATCAAATGATGATGACCAAAATTCTTTGAAGCAATGTGAAGGCCCACATAAGTCACGTGGATTTAGTTTTTGTATTCCTACAATCAACTCACACTTTCTAGTCAAAACTCAAAACCACAAGTATAAACGAAAAAAATTAATCTATTTCGAGCTGAAACATTGCATACACACTGCACACTAATGCCATATTTTCGCGCATGTAATCCACGGGTTATAAAAGTTTTTACATACGAATGGCAGCTATGCGGGGTTTACAAACTTATTAACTCTTAAACATAGCATAACGAAAACTAAGAACCTATCGGTAAGTCTATATGCCCCCGTTATAGTTCGCTGTGTATAGCTTGTTGGAACAACAATTGGAACACGATTGCGACTCGAGGGACAGACATCCGATGAGCAACAACTTTATGGTGACCGGTCACGTCATCCCCGGTCACTTCATCCCCGGTCATTTTATCTCCGGTCACTTCATCCCCGGTCATTTCATCCTCTGTTCATCATCATCGTGCTAATAACGTAAATGTCCAGGGTTTGATCCCCGTACTGGCTAATTTTATTTATTTGTTACTTTTTCTTTTGTTCCGATCATATGAAAAGGGAAAAAGAAAATGCGAGACACATTTTATTAAAATTCCACAAAAATCATTTTATTAATTATTGAATTTGAGAAAAAAAATCTTAATTAGAGCATGGTGTACATTAGCGTCCTAAAGTAGGAGTTGATTTGAATTTATTTTTTAATTTACTTTTTTGAAAATCGAAATAGCCTACCTTGCAGCGCTATCTCAAACTTTAATAAAAAAAAAAATAATTTCAGGATAAGTAACCATTCTTCATTAACATTTTATGAAGAAATTCCGGGAATAAAAGACACATTGATAATTTGCACAAGTAAATATAAACTTTGAGATAAAACTATTTAGTAGGAATCAACGCGAGCCAACGCAATGTGCTCTACTCATAAGAAACATCTCTACCTTGTTGTACAGGAAGTAGCTCTATTCCACCATCTAGAGATTTGAAAACCCAGGATGATGTTTCTTCTACTAATTTCTTCTGGCTATTTAATCTGGAGCTGACGGTCTTGGCTGTTAGTACAATGAGCATGACAAACGAAAGACCTACTAACACAAACTTGGCAACGTGAGACACGTAAACCACTCTCATTTCTGAACAACTGCAAACGTTTTGAAACGAAACGAAATAAAACACAACTCTCTACAGAGAGGCCTCTTCATCAAACATATTTATGATTGACGTAGTGCGAATTATTGAATTATTTTTCCATGCACCGCAAACTCCAGCTAATTAAAAGTTGACTTTGAGTGTGTGTGTTACTAAATAGGCCTACAAACTGATACATTCTAAGTAGTAATGTTCTAAAATAAACACATACATAGAATGTTTTAATTTTTTATGCGATTTGTAACCAATTGAACGAGCTCATGATATTATCTCTTGCAATCATCAAACCAGGGGAGCATAACTGTAAATCATTTTACACACGCAACGAATTCCATTTTCGACAATCAACCCAGAACGCTTCATTTTACATGAACGGAAGTTTCTATCTCCTGTTTATCTTAGCTAGGCATAACGTTGTCCTTAGTCAAATGTTTGTAGAAAATCGACATGTTAAATAAAAATAATTGTGAAGATTGAGCTTCTTCTAAATTACGTGAATATATTGTTTGTCTTTCTAAGTAGCGCATTCGTCACAAAGTTCCCACTTTTTTCTAAGTTATTTTATTTGTCCTATATAGTTTGGTGAAGTCATTCATATTGGTCAAAAAAAAATAAAAAAATCCATCGTCTCCCATACGCCCAGCAATAAATGTCTTCAGTGAGTGTTAATGACTTTTTATTCGACTAGAACGTTCCACAGGTGTATTGAAACAAGAGCGTGTAACGTAGAACGATCTGAGTACTGTGTTCATACAACTATCAACACAATGGAGAGTTACTATTTAAAACACAAGTTTGCAAAATGAAGATCTTCTTAGGTCATGTGACTGTGCTTATAAGACGCCATTGTGCATCACTTCTATATAGATCTCCATGAGCACCTTGTGTACTTTAATAACTCCTCACATTAAAAAAAAACATCTTGAAGCCAGCCCCCAAACCTGGTACTCACAAGTTGCTTGAAGCCAGCCCCCAAACCTGGTGCTCACAAGTTGCTTGAAGCCAGCCCCCAAACCTGGTACTCAGAAGTTGCTCATAGAGAACGTAAGAAACGAGATGAAAACTTCAAACAATTATTCTAAGTCATTTTGTTATTGTTTGAACACTATCACTAGGGAGCTATTCAATTGATTTACATTGGCTTTTTATTCTTAAAATATTGCGTGGGTTTATTTATTATAGTAATATAATGCAAGTTTGGGATATTTTTTTAAATGATTTTTCTTTGGCGTTATGCATTGATTTATTACTGCTTCGCTTATCTCTGGCATGGGCTTGGATATTGTGTTGATTGATTACTGCTTCACTTAGCTCTGGCGTGGATATCGTATCCAAAGATTTACCTATATCTAGAATTACTCATTCGTATTAGTGTGATGTGTGGGTAAGTGTAATAACAACTTGGTTCGAACCCCACCTCAATCTAAGTTATTTGCTAAGCGCAGCATGTATATCCAACTCACAGATACCCCCACCCCCCAGGCGTCCACAAAAGAGATTGGATCACAGCGCACAGAGCATGCTATAGCAGGGAAAATGTATAATTACTAAAGCAATTAAAAATAAACCTGCAATACCAGCTTCACATCTGATCTTTGTTCTGCTTTATCTTCTTATTGATAGAAATAATCTATTTAGTGCTGATACACCAGAATCACAAAAACGTTCACAGGGCATTACACTGTGTGTACATTCTCAGTGATTGAACATTCAAACAGCATAAAGACAAGAATATCTTCACATTTTTTTAATTACAATTTTTTTTTTCGACAAAACAAAATCTTTGTCTGCTATTCAGTAACAAAATATCTATAAAAAAAACTACAAGTACAATAAAAAACATTATCACAAAACAAATGAGATGGAACTTCATTAATAATCAAATCAGAATGTATTTAATCTTCACTGAACATAATTCTAAAGCTAAGGAAATGAAAGGATGTTACGATAAAATTGTGTGATGTCACGGATTACATTTGGTTACTAAAAAAACTCATGAGAATTACATTAAAAGAGACAACTTCAACATAGTGCTTACATTTTAGTAATCATTCCAAAGTAGACAATATCAATACACATACATATAAAATATTACTAATTCCTTTTCTAAACCTTTTAATTAGGTATCTAATAAGTTTAGAATCATATTTTTAAAAAATTGTCAATGATTTGAAAGTAAATAGCTATACAAATTAAGTTTTATGAAGCAACAGAAAAAATGAACTTGGTGCTTAGACCAAAGTTTTAATATAAAACCAGAAAAGAAATTGGTATTTCCATAACTACAGTGTGGTGATTCTAATCTAAATACATACACCATTTGACAGTAAAATAAAAAGTAACCGTAAGCTCATACTATTTCATTTGTTTGTAATAAGCAGTTGCCACAAAAATGAAAAATAATTTTTTTTTTATCATTGTTGACCTCAATTATAGGAGTGGCACTAGTATCAATTAAAAGACTGACTAGATGCTTTAGCACCAAACCATAATACAAGAACTACTGAAGTTTGAAAGTTATTCACATCCTTACCAACAGGAGAAAGAATTGCACTTGACTCAAAGTATTATAAGTTATTTATAAAACAGACAACATTAGAAAATGAAGCTACTAAATCTAATGCACCAGTTCCATTCTACAAATTATGAACATACTGCAGCTGTAAAACTACTTCAAGATGAAAATAATAAGGTCATCTTTACATAAGGGAGAGAATGTTTAAAACAACAACTGCACCCCAGCAATGGAAGCAAAATAATTATGTTTGTCAGTGTGGTCTTGTCCAATGCTTTATTCAAGATAGTATTCTGTATGTACATTAAAGTTACACACAAAAGCACACATAAGCACCAAATGTCTATGGCTTTGAGGCATTCGTAAACATACACTGACATAAATATCACAAATGATTATAAAGTATATTGTGTAAGACAGCTATGAACATTTAGGATTTGCTGTAAAAATTTTCAGAACTAAAAATTGTAGGAACCAGAGATGAAATGTTGGCTCAACACATTCATGACTTTTTCAAAGCCTCCAGCCTCTTCTCAATGCTTTCTATATTCTTCTGCATGACTTTGTTGTTCTCTACCAAACTTTGTTGAAGCTGAAACAACAAAGGGAGACAATTACTTGAGTGTTTTAAGACAAGAAGTTACACTGATAAACTATTCAGCACTTGATCAAGTTCAAAAACACTTTAGCTTAAAACTTTATTTCTCATTTTAAAATCTAAGCTTAGTGATACTTTTTTGTCAATTTCCATCACAAAATAATTTTTAATGAAGTATTGATTTACTTATGAATTATATCCCAATGATACAAATCTCTACTTCACCTCTGAAGAGGGAAGTAGCAGACGAATATAGTTAGATCAGCCCACTAACCTGTTTCTGCATGTCACTGTGTGTTGTGATGCTGGCTTTCAATTCCTGTTGAGTTGTGTCCAGGTAGGAAAGAGCTTGACTAAACTGAAGAGCTAAAAGCAAAAATATTTAAATCAATAAAACTTAAGTTTAAAAAAAAAGCTTCTTGTGAGAAATAGTAATTATTCACTTTTACCTACGCCTGTAATAACATGAACATTAGGAATGGACATGGAAAACTGAAATTCCAAGGAACAAAATACCGAAAACAATGTACTTCCTTACAATTTATCCTTGGAGACCAAACAAAGAAAAGAGAGATGGTATTCACTAACCTTGTTGATGAAGTTCTTTGAGAGATATCAACCGGTCAACTACTTGAGGTAATATATCAGCATTGGTTTCCCATTTTTTAACTATCTCATACAAATCTGAAATCTGGAAAAAAAAAAGTCAGTATTATTATGTAGAATTAATCATTAAAAAAGGGAATAAAAGTGCACATTTTGTAAAAAAAAACAACAACAAAAAAAACAACAACAAAAAAAAACACACACATAACAACTGAGTATCAAATTCTAGCCTGCCAACCTTTTTCTGTTTGTCTGGATCTGCCTGGGGGTCTTTGTCTTTCTTCTCTGCTATTTGTTGTATCTTCTGTAAGACAGCATTAAGTCTAGCTTCAACAGTCTCTGTATTAGAAGCATCTAGCAGTGACAATTTAGAATTCAGCGTGGCAACTGCTCCCTTTAGAAATGAATAAAAACACGATAGGTTTTGTTAATACAATAAAGAAAGAAAATGCTATTCTCTGTATGTTTGAAATAACTTAAAGATGGACGAAATCTAACAAGAGAACATCTTTTTCTTTAATTCAGCACAAACAATATTTGTGATCAGTTAACTTACAATTAAAGACTTGTTTTCTGTATCAGCTGTCAGTACATTCTAAAATAAAAATGTGTTTAAACATTATAAAAAAAAAACTTACATGCATACATAAATAATTTGTTATTTAGTAAACAAAGTAGAAATCTAAATTTGAATATCTTTTAATTCAAATTCAATTCAAATTATGAACTTCAAACATAATGAAATAATAATATGGATTATGTTTCTTAAATACACACTTTGAAATGTTGACCATAAAAACAACATACCATCTTGTCCAACTGTTTGCCTATAACATTTTCTAATCTTTCTAGTCTCTCTTCCAGTGCAGCAAGCTTAAAAAACAAAATATCATTGGGAAACATAAATTTTATGTTTTTATTATTGCACAGACTAAACAGTTATTTTTTTTTTAAATTTCTACTGACATTTTAAAATCAAAAACATGTACAGAATGAGACTAGCTTTAGTTTTTCTACTTTTAAAAACAACCAACTAAGAAAAGTGAATATTAATTGTATCAAAACTATTCAATATAAAAGTCACTAAGACAGTTAATGATTGTTGACAAAAAAAAAAAATAGCCTCTACTAGCAAGGTTCTAAGTAAATTTCAATCAGATCACAAATGATATTTTTAAAGAAAGTTACAATTATTTTTTACCTTTGCATTTTTACTAAATTGAGTTTGTTCTGGTCTGTAATAAAGTTCATACAAAACACAGTCTTTAGGTGCTGTCTCATCCTTCCCTTTACCATCAGCACTAGGCTTGAAGCTTTCTAATTGAGTCAGGAGTCTCCTGCAAAAACAAAGTACCAGTTGTCATAAATTAAATCCCATTGAAATAATCCAATTTTTTTAACTTTTAAAGAAATAAAATCTTTAAGAATTTATAAATAATACAATTGTAGATCTACTTTGATATTTACCTCACTAGTTTAGAATGATTTTTAGTAAAATATCAATGTAAATAGTATTTATTTTAAATTGTGTATAACTTTGTTGTTTGTTTTTTTTACTTATGTAACAAAGTTTTTTTTTTCTTTTCTACATATTCGATATTATAAGGCAATAAGAAATACATTTTGATTAGCATTGGATAGTGGATAAACTCGTGTGGAGTTTTTGATCTCCCATCGAGCACCTCCCCAGGTGGCGGATAGGGGAATGCCCTCCAGATATGGTGGGTACCGGGGAAATAAAATACCCGGGGTGGACCAAAATCAAACCTGCTGCCTTGCAGGAAGTGGAGGGATCCACAAAGGCTAGGGCACCTTACCCCAAAATAAAGGCAGCTATCCAGAGAGCTGAAAGAGGCAGCCCCCCAGAAGGTTATGCACAGGGCTAACAACTCTGTCAAATAAAAAAATACTGTTACGAAAGCTAATACACACAAGAAAACCCGGACAGATCTCAATGGAAAACAACCTAGGCCTGGAAAAGGACATGATTTTTGTTTTGCGACATGGAACGTGCTAAACCTTTATAGAGCAGGTGCACTAGCACAACTTACTGAAGTGTTAAAGAAATATAGGATACCCCTTGTAGCCCTACAGGAAATCAGGTGGAAAGATTCGGACATTCTCAGAACCAAGGAGTATACTATATTTTTTGTGGTGGAAGCACTAACAACTTAGGTACAGGTTTTGCTGTTAAAAAGGAAATGGTAGGTAATGTCATTGTATTTAAACCTGTAAGTGATAGACTCTGCTCACTACGTTTGAAAGGAAAATGCTTCAACATATCATTTATCAATGTTCATGCCCCTACTGAAGATGCAGATGATAGCAAAAAAAAAGCCTTCTATGATAGACTGGAAAGAATTTATGATGAAACACCAAAGCATGACATCAAAATAGTTCTTGGAGATTTCAATGCAAAAATTGGAAAGGAACCAGCATTCAGACCAACAATTGTCAAAGAAAGCTTACATGAAGAGACCAACAATAATAGCATAAGATTAGTGGAATTTGCATCAGGAAAAGGAATGTCTATCAGCAGCACAAAATTCCAACATAAGAATATTCATAAGGTTACCTAGATCTCACCTGATGGCAACACCCAGAATCAAATAGATCATATACTCATAGATAAGAGACATGGATCAGATATACTAGATGTAATAAGTTTCAGAGGAGCAAATGCTGACTCAGACCATCTACTTGTAAAAGCTAAACTTAGACAAAGAATAAGTACCATACACAATTACCTAAGAAAGAGAGCACAGCAATATGATAGTCAAAAACTCACAAAGGACCTACTTGTTGCAGAAACTTATAGAATGGCACTCCAAACGCAACAAACAACATTAGAAAAGAAATTGAGTTTTGAGTTTAGGCACATCGGCACAATTTAGGCCATGTCGTGCCCGTAATCCTTTAAGGATCACTCTCCCACAAGGGCTAAATTCTATACAGTTAAATCATTAAAAACAAGGTCTATTCAAAGTTACAATAGTAAAGGTAATAAAAATTTAATAATTTGGTAAAAATCTTTTGTAAATATTATATGTTCACAGTTCAAAAATCAGATCTTCGTAGACAACCCCACCTCCCCATTAGAAAAGGACAGCGAAAATAACATAAATGAGCATTGGGAAATAATAAAGCATGCTATCAAAAGAACAGCAGAAGAGGTAGTTGGATTTAAACAAAAGAACGAGACAATAGGGTGGTATGATGATGAATGCAGACAGACTATAGAGGAGAAGAACAATGCCCGAATGATAATGCTACAGAGAGAAACCAGGAACACTAGACAGCAATACAATGAAGCAAGAAGAAGGGCCACAAAAGTTGTGAGAAAGAAAAAACGGGAATGGGAAAAGTCCAAGATTATTCAAATTGAGGAACTAGCAAAGGAAGGAGACATGAGAGGAATGTATATGAAAATTCAAGATGAAAAGAACAGATTTCAAGCTAGATCAAACATGTGTGAGAACAAAGATGGTCAGCTTATTACAGAAAACAGCAGGGTAATTGAGAGATGGGCTGAATACTTTGAGGAGATCCTAAATACCACTGAAGATGGAGACAATGGAGAATATGAACTGCCACATGGGGGACCAGATCCTTTGAAACCTTTAACACTCATTGAAACATCAGAAATAATTAGGACCATGAAGAATCACAAAGCATT